ATAATGAAGGTAGTGGAGCTTCCATTACGATTTCCAACCACAACACATTTCAAAAAATATGACGAAACCGTCTGGATTCACACTGTCAATATTTTGCGCGCGAAAGGCAGCCCGCAACACCGATGAAGCAACAACTTTGCCTTCTATTGCTTCGACGGCCCACATATGAAGTCGCACGATCATGATGGCATACTTGGAGTATCATCACTCAGCGTACCTCCTCAAGTCATCAAAGTGATGTCTATCTTGGCTGGAGTAATGTGGGTCGCTAAAATGATCGACGGCAACGAAGATGCCTTCTTTGAAACCTTCCGAATGCCCCGCGCAACCTATGGGGGCCTGCGTTACCACCTTGTAAACCGAAGATGCCTTCTTTGAAACCTTCCGAATGCCCCACACAACCTATGGGGGCCTGCGTTACCACCTTGTCAACCGTGGTGGTGATTGTGGTATAAATCACATCTCAAGAGCAGTTGTGCATGTTCCTTTTTCATGCGGAATTGATGTCCAATTTCAAACATTATATTGGCGAGCTGCGCCACTCACCACTCATGGACATCGGCATCCTCCCAAGCGACAACGCCAAATAGTACGAGAAAGTCGGGCACATTATCTAGCCCAAGTACAACAATCAGGTAGCTTTCTCCAACGCCTACTCCCCCCAGCAATACGCCGTAGCCGAATGCCGTATCGGCATTGTCGTGCAGAGAATGCGAGCTGTGCTCATTGAAGGGGCTTTGCCCAAGTTCTTGCCCACACTATTCCTCATGCCTTATCAACATCCCCCATCGGCATCCAACAAAGGTGTTTCACCCTACCACGTAGTTTTTAAACGACACCCAACTTTGGTTCACATACAAACCTTCGGTTGCACAGCGTTTGTGCACATCCTCCAAACTCTATCCCCGTGCCGTAATGGCCATGTTTATGGGTCTCCCACACGATCGAAAAGGGCTATACACTCATGCATTTGCAATCTCATGTACTTATCTACTCTTGTGACGTCACCTTCTGGGAGACTGAGTTCCCCGCCATGAACTCTGTTGCTGCCGCTGCGGCTTATCGCCAACAATCTATCACCGACCCCAACTTCATCCTACCCTTGGAGCCAAAGCACCATTGCCGCCACTACACTCCACCATCACCAACAGGCCCAGTGCCCTTCTGTACGACAAGCCTTTGGCTTCGTCGCCCCCCGTTCTTTCTACGAAACCCACATCGTCTCGACCCATAACATCACTTTCTGTGCAACTACCACAACGAATTCGAGATAACTTCTCGACATTCTCATAGACCAGTCCGGAACTTTGACTCAACTGCTACTCTATTACGACGACTCTATGGTCCCATCCCGTCTGCCTTCTTGGTCCATCCATAACCCTTAGCCTTGTCGGCTTCACCATCAATGGCCAAAACAACCCTTGACTATATTAGTTATTACTCAAGTTACCTACTCATGGACACAACCCCTCTAGAGTCATTTGCTACCTACAGCAACCATGTGAATCATGCACTCGTGCTTGCTCCGCCACAATCCATGCCACCTGCGAGCTCTGTTCCTACTGTGGTCCCTATGGAACCATTGTTTATCTACGCGCTACTCACCGACCGTGCCAACAACAACGACCCCAAAGACTGACGTGACACCATGTCCCGCCCCGACCACCACAAATGGCTTCTAGTCGTCAAGTCCCAATACAAGTATCTACTCTCCAACGGCACTTACGTGCTCTCAAACGTCGTCATGACGAGACGGTTCTGCCATGTCGTATCCGGAACCTGGCTTTCGTAGGTTTTGCTTCGCTCTGCGACTCTACGCCCTTGGCGACTACCTTTGTCGCCGTGTACCCTAGTGACCTTTGCCTATGGCATCGCACTCACTCTATTTTTCCCTTTCTGGTTGTTTTTGATATGTATCATGCATTATTTGCACCTGCTTTCTCTTCTCATTCTACGCCTTCATCCTCGTCCTCGACCATGTGGCGACTTGTGCACTTTATATCTGCTCGTGCCGCTTTGAAGTCGGCCCCGGGGGTGGTCCCGTCTGGCTCTTGGCGCTGCTCAAGAATCGGCCGTACGAGTGGCGTCATGGTTTGAGCAAGTTATTACATGGTGCCCCCCCCACCCCACCTACTTGCAATTCATGGGTATTTACCCCTACTCTCTGAGTATAATTTGTACTTTTGCTTCCGGCTTCCGGTAATTCGGTCTTCACCGCTATTATTCGCTACACTATCCTACTTTTCGTAGCATCTATGCACTTCCTGGTCTTTACCATGCCCCTTGAGCACCCCTTGCATGCATGTGTCATCTTGGGCTATCGTCCCCCTCTATGAGTAAGCATGCACTTATGTGCCCAACACTACTTTATGTGTGTTCCTGTCCTAACTCCGCATATTTTCTCAGGGGGGATGTATTACTGTAGTTACACGCCTTTGTCACTTTTGGTCTCTGCTATGTCCTTTTTGCCTTTGGCATTGCCTTCTCTTTAAGAACTTTGTCTCGAAGGCCTTCAGCAGCCCGTTGCCCAGTGGGGTGGCTGTCGAGAAGAGGCACTTTGTCCGATCGTGCTACGATCACATACGGATAATATCCGGTCTTTCTGTTTGTGTAGAAGGAAATTCACAATACTTTGTATAACGTTATGCACAATTAATACCGGGATATTATGACCCATTTGCGTATTACATTTTCCCACAGGTTTGTTCGAGGTTTGTTCGAAGCAAACCATCCTGGCACCACCGCAAGGGGGATGTCGCGCCGCATCTCGACGTTGGAGTGGCTGGACCAAGCTCTGAATGAGACAGAGATATCTGCGACAATCCCTCAACCAAAGCCAACGTCTCCTGCACAGCAAGCTGCTATGTCCATGTCGTTGTTGTACCTGTGCCTTGGTCTGTCGTTCGTCGCCGTGGTCCTCGTGTTCCTCAAACTGTGGCTGCGGATGCGGTCAATGCAGCCACCATCGACGAAACAGCGCGTGACGCATCTGCTGGATGTCGCGATCTGCATCCTCGGGTGGTATGCCATGAGCATCAGCATGACGTTGTTCAACAAATGGTTTGTCAAAGTCTGGCACGGCGGGTTTCCGTTCGTGTTCACGATGGGCGCGATCCACATGTCCATCAAAGCTCTACTGACCCGTGCCATGCTGTGGCGGCATCCCACGGCCATTGCTGCGATTTCCCCGCACAACTACTGGAGGTAGGCGGGTCCCACCCATCGCTTTCGAACTTCCTCATCTGCCATGGTAGACTTTGTGTCCCCATCGGACTCTTCACCGGGGCCGACATCGTCATGTCCAACATGTCCCTTCGATACATCACCGTGTCCTTCTTCACCATCGTCAAGTCTGGCGGCAACGTGTGGAACCTGCTCTTCTCGATCGCCCTGGGGCTGCAACACCTGTCCCCGTCGCTGTTCATCGTCGTGGTCGTCATCTGCGTCGGCATCGGCCTTGCCAGCTACGGCACGATCCACTTTGTCGTCATCGGGTTTGTGTTGGTGCTCTCCGCGTCCATCCTCGGAACGCTGTGGTGGGTCCTCACGCAGTTCCTCATGCAGCAGATGGATCCCCGCCAAAACAAGTGCGTGTCCAAGGACCTACATTCTGCCGTGGCACTCGAACCTACATTCCGAATCCTCTCGACCCAACATTCTTGACCATACATATTCGGTAGGTCGTTGGCCGTGGTGTTTCACATCGCGCCTGTGAGCGCGCTATCGCTGGTTCCCATCGCTCTTGTTGTGGATGGCGCTGGCTTGACGTCGTCCGTGTTTGCACGGGACATGACATTGTGGATGGAATGCCTGGTGTTCCTCACCACCGGCGGCTTCCTGTCGTTTTTGCTCATCTACGTCGAAGTGGAACTCGTGAAATCGACGTCGGCGCTGTCGCTCGGCATCGCGGGGAACCTCAAGGACGTAATGCAGATCCTCATGGCGATGTTGGTGTTCCAAGACCACTTGAGTGCTGTGAATGGCGCGGGGTTGGCCCTCGCCACAGTCGGCCTCATGTGGTACTCGTATCTCAAGACCACCACAACCGCGACCACGACGACCACGGAGTATGCGTCTGTAGTCCAACAAGATGGTGACGAAGACGAGATTGGCATCCAGTCCAGGACAAGCTGGCCACACGACACGACGAAGCAATTGGATCACCACGCTTAGTCGGCGCTACTACGTCGATTAGACTCACAGTGGTACAAATTGAATAAGGTATTTCCCAAGGGGCTAGTCTGCGAACATTCCCGTCCATGCTTTTTGAAGTATCCACGCAAATACGACTCCTGATTGGCTAAAACGAGAATTTTTCCGGATAACACAACGTCAAAAGCAGGGACGCCTGAGTTGAAGCAGGGATGATTCATCCCTGCTTTTGAGTGTCCGTTCCTGCTTTTGCACGTTTTCGATAGAAATTAAG